TCATCGATGATGTTAGTAACTAAAAAGAGTTTTAAAAAATACTAAAAATTTCAGAATTTTTTTAAAATAAATACTTAAGTCATATTTTTCAATTCCCACACCAAAACTCTATACAAATTCCTCTTCTCATATCTCATGAATAGTGGTTGGTGGAGTTGCTCTTTAGATGAGGCCCTATCTCTTAACCGTTGAATAAATTAATTAGCCGTTGAATCACTCATAATCTTAGCCCTTAACCCAGAAAATCCCAAACTTTTGAAAGAATGAAGCCCAAACGGCCAAAACACTATTCCCTTATGTTAGTGGTGAGCAAAGAAAGCAAACACCAGTCGAAACCCAGGCAACTTGGAACCAAAACCGGTTGAATGATTCGCATAATGCACATATAATGATATAAACATTACAAGATTAGCATGCTAATAATCAGTAATTAGACCAAGATTGTTTTATCAGCTGCTACAAAGCAGAAACATAAACTTCATTCCTTATTAAATTAAGCAAAAACTAAACCCAACAAACAAACAAACAACGACCCAAAAACATAATCTTTAATTAATTTTTTACACGTAAAAAAACTAAAACCCACCCACCCAAACACCGGCTTCCTTCTCCTCCCAAACAACAAAGATTGTTTCATCACTCAGACCGATTAGCAAACCTCTCCACCTTCTCGTCCTTCAAATTCAACCCAACCATGGCCTCGCCCAACCCGCAACTCACCTCAGCCAGTACATCTGGGTCCCTGTAATGGGTCACAGCCTGCACAATCGCCCTCCCCCGCTTCACCGGGTCACCGCTCTTGAACACGCCGGACCCGACAAACACCCCGTCGCAACCCAGCTGCATCATCAGCGCCGCATCCGCCGGCGTCGCCACCCCTCCCGCCGCAAAGTGCACCACAGGCAGCCTCCCCAGCTGCTTCGTCTGCATCACCAGATCGTACGGCGCCGCGATCTTCTTCGCGAAAGTGAACACCTCGTCGTCGTCCATGTTCCGCAAAACCCTAATGTCCCCCATCACGGACCGCACGTGCCTCACCGCTTCGATGATGTTCCCCGTGCCGGCCTCGCCCTTGGTCCGGATCATAGCCGCTCCTTCTCGGACTCGGCGGAGC